TGTGTGTGTGTGTGTGTGTGTGTGTGTGCGTGTGCGCCTATCTATGCCTATCTATGCCTATCTATCTATCTACGGTGGTAGACCTCGTAGACCTCTATGGAGCTTGTGCCAGGGCTTGTTCCTGTGCTGCCATGCCTCTGTGCCATCTTTCAGTCCAGCTTTGTCCAGCCACTGGTAGGACTTCTGGATATATATGTATATATATATTCCACTCATTCAGCTGTACTGTACTTAAAAACTTAAAATATATGTGACTTTCTATACTGAGTATTATGAATTTATGCAGGTAGTGCAGGAGAGCCTATGGTACAATTCAAGAGTTTGGCACCTTAAAATTGAGACGTGCAGCAGATACTTCAATATTGTCAGCATTTGTCATTATAAGAGTCTACCAAGCCTCTAAATTAACTTTAATGGTAAATAAGAGAGCGTAGAAAACAATGGCACAGTGGTTGAAAATACATATAAAACAGGCTCATTATGTTTCCACAGTTATGTTAGAGGACACAAGAAAAGTTGATATTGTGTTCTTGAAAGTATATTTAATTTTCTGAGAACAAATAAGCCGCATATAAATCATATCATTTCATTTTTCTTGACACCCATTACTGTAAGATTAACAGAAAGTGGCTGTAAGTATAAAAATACATGCTCAGTTACTTAATCTTAATTCATAAAGCTTGTAAAGTTAAAAAAAAAAGAGTTGTAAAACAGCTAAAATTATTTTATTATGCGATGTTGGGGACCAATTTTTCAAAGAATAAATACACACATATAGAGAGATGAATGGTCAGATAGCTCTCCGCACAGTTTGTAGAAATCCTCCAGGACAGCAGGGGGCGGTAAGTTTCCTCTCTGATTGCCGTTTGAGCTGAAGAGGAAGGGGACGTTTCTTGTGGCACATGGTATCCAGTGAGTAAAACAGATGTGTGCAGTTAACTGAAGTGGATATATTCAGTTTTAATCTGAATTTATACGCACACAGACGTGGTTTATTGTCCGCTGTGTGTGAAGCTGGTTCATCATGGTTCGAGCAAAACGGTAAGTTTGGCTAAGATGTATCTACGTGTTAGCTTGTCTTTGTAGCGTCTCTGCTCTGTTTTTCTGGGGTTTCGTGTGGTCACAATTGGCGTGTGGTGTTGTAGAAACAACAAGAAGTTGTTAGTCTTAATTTACAAACATACGGGTGCATGATTTATACTCCACTGCTGTGATGGGAGCTGGCGCTAGTGAAGTGTAGAGTGATCCGGGAAAAATAAATCTGGTATTTAACCAGAAGTTTGCGTTTTTATTTGTTATTTGTCTTTTGCTGTTCAGGGGAAAACACGCACAGAGGCCAAACAAGGATGAGGTCTATGATGAAGACGACCCTGAAGCCTACAACGACATGCCTGTCCCTGATAAGGTAAGACACGCAGTGTTTTATACAGCTGTGGTCAGAAGTTTACATGCATCTTGGGCATGGATGTGGGGGTTTTAATGATTTCTTTGGAGTTTAACATGATTTCACATTATGTTACATTATGTTACAGTTACTCAATTTGTGGCCCTTTGCTCACTTTAAACAAGTCGGTATTGTCCTCTGATTTCTAAACTAGAGGGTAGTTGGTGTGACTTTAAGGGGGACAAAGTATTATTTTGAAAAGAAGAGAGGTCAAATTATAGCTGTCAAATAATAAAAACAAGATCTGAAATCTTGCCTGATTGTATGATTGACCTGTTGCTTTCTGTAACCAACAAAGCGGTAATATCTACGTTAAGCCAAACCTTGATGACCTGTGAACTAAATAAAAACCAGCGTGATCTCATATGGTGACTTTGATACAACTGTTTTCATTCTAAATGGTGTGTTCTCTTTTCTCTTTCAGAAATCCTCAACATACACAAAAGACAAGATTGATGAGTTTCATGATGAGAAGATTGCAGTAAGTTCTTTATTTGTTCTACGGTAGGTGTGCAGTGCAAGAGTTGTGTTCTGTAACCTTTCTTCGTGCTCCGGTGTCTTTGCCGCAGAAACTTCTCGCCCGAGGTGTTCAAATGGAGAGTGACCGGGAGGAAGTGGACGATGAGGTAATGTCGTACGTGTTTGTTTAAAAGTAACTGCAGGTGAAAAACGTAGAGGAACAACTGAGAAGAAACCTGAGATTATCGAAATTTCACAGGAGGAGGTGATGCCCCTGGACCTTTCTGAGTCGGAAGATGATGAAGGGGAGGAAGAAGAAAATGAGGAAGAGGGGACAGATATGGAGAGTGATTTAGAAGGGAGAAATGAGGATGGTAAATTGACTTTTTTTTTGTGTGTGTGTGTATGCTTTTCATTTTGAGCCTGTCTCACTGTGTTTGCATTGTCTGCTGCAGAGCTCCCTAATGAAATGGCCTGGGGCAGAAAGAAAAAAATGTTCTACGATTCAGATTATGTGACCTCAAGTAAGAACCTTTTATCTCAAGCCGTATTATTGCATTGTGTGATGATTGCATCATCTTTTATTATGCAACATTTCGATCACTGTTATTACAGAAGGGAAATCACAAGAAGAGTTGGAGGCTGAGGAACAAGAAGAAGAAGAAGAGGCTAAAAACATCCAAAAACGTTTAGCTGCAAATCTGAGCG